ACTCTTTTAGACTCCTCTGAAAGCTTAGGCCACTCCAACCCATCAATCCAAATTCCTCCATTCAAGGGCTTCCTAAAAACTGATGTGAAATGTTCCACAAAAACTTGAGCAATCTCACTTTGTTAGCTAATACTCATCCCATCAACCTCCAACTTCAACACAAAGTTCTTTCTTCTTCTCCCATTTGCCAACGCATGAAAAAGTTATCACCCTACTTAATCCGCTTATTCCTAAACTTCTGCCTCCAACTGATTTCCTCCAATTCCTTCCTTAAACTCCAGCTTTCCTTCATATCACTTTCCTCCATTAAACTAGCCACTTCATTTCCATCCAACTCTTCAACTTCCATTGAAACCTCATTCCTTCCCAATTCACCCTTGATTGCTCTCCTCCCAGCAAACTTTAATCTCTCCCTAAATCCAATAGTACACAACCACATATTCTTACATCTAAAAAAGGAGTTGGACCCCTACCTTTCAAACTCTCCTCAGAATGGCAATTGGCCAGTGGTCCAATGTTGCTCTTGGCAAAGCTTTAGAGACTAGACCTCTCCAATGCTCCTCCCAATCAACTGTGAATAGAAATCTATCGAGTTTAGAGCAAATTGGGTTGGTCTGTAGATTGGACCAAGTAAAATTTGACTATGCAAGAGGAAGTCTCTCAACCCAAAAGCATCATTAACTTGATTAAATCTCCTCATGCTTAAATTTATTCTCCTTCTCTAATTGTTAGTTTCTTCCAAAAATCTTATCACATTAAAAATTTAAAATCCCCCCTATACGCCAAGGTCCATCCCTCAATCCTCTAATATCTTCCTTCCAATTCCTCCCAAAACTTATTTCTTTCCCTGTTCCCATTTGGTCCATATACATTCGTTAATACTCACTCAAATCTGTACGAGGCTTGTTTAAATTTAATTGCAACTAAATATCTCCCAATCATCTCCTCTAGTTGAATTACAATTTCATTGTTCCATAATGCCACAATAGACCACCTCCATCCCCTAGCTTCCCAGATGCAGTTACAATCTCATTTGTTCCACCCAAATCTAAATGCAGGACACAGAGACCAGCTCTATACCCTAGCTTTCCAAATGCTCCTAGCCCATTCTTTGTCAAACTCCATCACCTTGAATTCTTGAATTAGGATGGTACCAACTAACAGCACCACCAGTAACTTTGCTTCTCTGATATTCAAGGCCAATCTCCCATTGTATCTTAACTCTTCATGCAGAAAATTTGTTGCTTCAACCTTCACCGATTTCCTCCAAATCCCCATGATGCAAAGAAATTAACTTTTCATTCCTTAACTGTAATTTANCCCCCCTCAAAAAAAAAAAAGAAAACTATCTCTTGAATTTTCTGAAGCAGAATAAGTTGTACAATTTTTCAATGACATGAACCCTCCAAATCAAAAAACAGAGAGATAATCCACAGGACTTCTGATTCTTTACAAACATTAACTGCTGGTACATGATTTTTGCCAAGCCTACAACAATTACTATCCTATTATCATACATAATAAGCCTTTTAAGCACTCCTTATCCATAGAAAAATCACCACCATTCTTATTCAAAATTCCATAAGAAAAGCATTTGTTCATTACCTCTAATCGTGTCTACGTATGAAGAATTACAAGAATGCAAATTTGCTTTAAACTTTTCTTCCTATAAACCTCCTTAGAATTTCTACATGGACCAGCTCCACAAATTACCGATGATTCTTAGAGCCCCTTAATTGCCTGAGAATGCCACCACTTTTATCGATCTCCATAGCTTTTGAAAATGTGTATGTCAATGTCCTAGCACCTCTAGATCCCAAATAGAAACTTCAACACAATTTTCATGTTATGCTCAGATGAAGAAAATACCATCTAATGTAGTGTTGGCCACAGCCTTCTCAATCATCTCAATCGTCAACCCACTTCTTTAGCATTTACCACATGTATGCCTAGTCCTCTTGCACATCATCTTAGGTGTGTGGTTTTTAAATGTGCCCTTTTTGTTATTTTTTTAGTGGATCCACACCTTTGTATTGGTTAATCAAAAAAAAATTAATTATTTCTGTTTGTACACTAGCAGTGGTCTATTAATTTTTAAGATTAAAAAAAAAAAAGCCTTTCAAATACTTAAAGTTGAAGCCTTAGCTTTTGCAAACAGGATCTCAAATAGCAAAATTTCCACAGAAAAAGTAATAACAGTATAACTGGTATTTGATTCCTACTCCTAAAATAGAATGAACCATAACTAAAATCACAAAACCAATCTCTGTGGGCCATAAATTTAGGTCAGGGGCATTGCCCCAAATCCCCACATGGACTTGTTTGGGCTTGCCTCAAGGTCCTATATAGACGCAGAGGGCTGACCTAGGATTAAGAATAAAAGATATTTTACATCACTCTAGCTATTTGAAGTAATGCAACTAGGAGATAAGCAAAATGGTGATTTTTTTTTTTTGATGAATAGTAAAATGGTGAATTGTCGAGTGCTTGAAACACTTTGGTATAATCCACACATGCTTGCTTTCACTTCCACATTTTCACTTTGAACATATTTTATATGTTATGTTTATGTATTTTAATTTGAGCCAATAGTCTTCTTAAAACATTTAACTTCTTTTGGAATTTAGGTTTTGCATTTTTTATGTATTACCTTCTTTTTTTTATTTTGCCAGAGAGTGAGTACATTAGTTCAGTGAAGGTTGTATGTGAGGACAGAACAGTGTCTTTTTTTTTTATAGGTAATAGAACAGTGTCTTAAAAGTGCATCACACAAGAAAAGCACAAAGCATTCTAGGTTCTAGTGCCCAAGGTGCAAGACACAAGGTGAGGCATGTTCCTTTTGAAATTTAGGTTTTGCATTTTTTATGTATTACCTTCTTTTTTTATTTTTTAACCTTGTGCTTTGCTTAGAAAAGGAATATGCCTCACCTTGGGCACTAGAACCTAGAATGCTTTGTGCTTTTCTTGTGTGATGCACTTTTAAGACACTGTTCTATTACCTATCAAAAAAAAAGACACTGTTCTGTCCTCACAACCTTCACTGAACTAATGTACTCACTCTCTGGCAGCATGTAAACCCATAAATCTCTCACCCCACCCTCAACCACAAGGACATCACCCAAAAAATATGATGGAAAAACAAATTATTCAGAAAGACAATGATGGTGGAGGCCTGGAAGGAGTGTAGGAATGGAGTTTTCACAGTGAAATCCTATTACAACTGTTCAGCGAAAAATCAAGTAGAAATCTCAAACTTGAAACTTGAAAGGCATTTGGGGAATTTTGATTCCACCTAGGGTGGAAGCTTTCACATGGTATATTGATTTGGATAATATTCAGACCCAAGATCACCTGAAAAGTAGAGGGCTACAAATTGTAAACAGGTATTATATGTAGACCTGTTCACAGGCCAGGCTCCAAGCTCGACCCATGAACATTTTACACTGCTTTGGACTAGGGCTTCAAGCCAGGCCAATTTGCTGATTCAAATTTTGGCAAAAGCTAGGCCAGACGCCAGCCCATCATCAGGTCCAGTTAAATGTGTGGTGAAGCAGACGAGAATGCCCATCTTCTTGTGTTATGCAGATTTTCATCTTGTATTTGGGGTAACTTCTTCAGGCTTTTTGGCATGATTAGAAGGAGTCCTAGTTGCCTAAAGGATATATTTGCATGCTAGTCAGATCTAAATGGGAATAAGAAGGCAAAAATAGATTCGCCTTGTGTTCCTTTTATGTAGTTTTAGGAGATTTAGTACGAAATGAATAGTAAAGCTAAGTCAAAGAAGTTATGTTCAACTATTGGGAGAAGAATTCTGGATTGGATTCTTGTTCTTCCTAAATTTTGAGGGGTTCTGAGAAAGACTTTTGGGGATGGTTTTTGGGCATGTTTGGATACAAGTGAAAGATCTTGATGTACTAAATGCAGCTGCAACAGGAGGGCATGATAAAGCCTTGAATTAGGAAAACAATTTATACAACTACATGTCTAATACATGATAGAGAACTGCTTCAAGCTACATCTTCCAAAAATTTTCGTATATGTAATAGGCTCCCTTCATCCATAAGATAAGGGCAAGAATGTGTCCACGTTTCTGATCAGCTAACCAAAGGAGATTGGTGAGTTTCATTTTGCTTCAATTAGACTATAAATTTGTTTTATGATTTAAAATCGTATCCCTCCAAAAAAAGTAAAATAAGAAAACACAAATAGACCTCCTTCAAGGCCAAAAAATAAAATAATAAAACAACAATGAGTGACAGAAAAATCTGGAAAATGGCAACATGAATGCCTCACTTGAGATTCTTCGGTAGAACAATACTAGCAATTAAGATAAACTCAGGAGAGGAAATTAACAAAAATATGGAATTCTATATCATAAATGCTAGTATGCTACAATGAATCCATACAAAAAAAGGAAGAACAACAAAAAATGAAGCATAAGAGGTCAAAGCTTGATTGACTCAAATATATTTAATGGTTCAATTGATCAGTTCATGATCGAATGCAAAAACACACAAAAAAAAAGTTGCAAGAATAGGTCGGATTATTCCCTCCTTCTCATGACCTTAAGATTATTATGTTAACAGGTTAACAATGCAAAGCTTGTGGAAATATAGATGCAGACTTGAGGGCGGTAGTTTGAGATAACAAATGGCGTTGGAAAAGTAGATCAGGAAGATTATCATATTTTTCAGATGCAGCTGATGTGGTAAAGAAGATGGACAAATCAGATAAATTACTGTTCATAAATTGAAAAACCTCTATTAGAATGGAATTAGTAGGGTGTTTTCAGACGTTTTGTGTTAGACATGTCAATAGAAATAGTAACACGTTAGCTCAACAGAAATCAATAATATCTTCAAATTCTACCCCAATGATATATTAACAGAAATAGAAGACAAACCCAAAAGTTCAATAAAAAGAATTTTTCGATTCTCGTTTGTGTCCAGACTATCAGAAAACCATATAGATTTTATATTAACCGTAGAGGTTAGAACACCGTAAGACATTAAAATTAAAAAATCTGATAGAAATAATTCTCCGATACGAAGTTCAAATAAACCCAGAAAACAAGGTCCCTTTAAAACAGATAAACATGCGAAATTGATAAACCAATATACATCTTACATTGAAGAATTGAAGAGGTCTATATCGTTCTTCAAGAAGGAATTAGAAGGAACCCATACATGTACACTTATAAAGAAGACGCAACCACTCCGATCAACGGCCGACTCAATCAGAACAGCAAGGGTTGCTCGTGCTAGCCTCACCATCCTTGGAACAACAACCATGATCGGCAGCATTGCCGTGGGCACCATCTTTGTTACAGCAATGACCATTCTTGTTTTCATCATCGTCGTCGCTGTCGTCTTCGTCAAAGGGCTTCTGCTTATGGAAGATACAACACTTCTTAGAGCTCTTCTTGTTAAGGAACTCGTTATCGACCGTGCCTTCCTTCCATGTGACTTTCTTTTTGGGCCGCGACAGGCGAAGAACTAGGGTTTGTTGTTGTGGCCTTTGCGCAGATGAAGAACTAGGGTGGTTTTCTAGGGTTAGGGTTGTGGTGGTAGATCCATGGGGCCTAGTACTCAAAGGTCTCGCCATGGATGTACGAACTCAAGGCTTCCTTGCGGTGCGATGGTGAAGTTCGAATCGGAAGTCGAATTGAAGAGGAAAGCGCATTTGATGCGAAGAGAGGGAGAGGGCATCAAATACGACCCCGATATAATAACAGCTCAAACATTTGATGGATGTACTAACTCTACCCTTACTTAATATCCGTTAATATTCCGTTAAAACCCACGTACACATGAAATCACGTGACATTTAAACTTCTTTTAAAACCCAATATTACCCCCTCCCTCATCCCCTTCCTTTGACCGGCAACCCCTTCCTCGTCAAACCTCTTTATCTCTTCTCTCTTACTTCTCCATCTTTCTCTCTCATACCTATGATCGGACGAGATTTCCTCTAGAAAATCAAGAAAACTTTGAAAAATCCAATTGACAATGTTATCACCCCCGGTGCCACGTACAGTGGAACAAATTCTCCCTTCGCTTCCTAGTGCCACTTGCACCACCCTTACTAATATACAAGTATATAACCCCCCTCCCTCCTCCTCTAACAAGAGTAACACTGTAACAAACACAACGGCCTACTTATTATGGTCTGATGATAAGCCTGAGCAGAATCAGACATTGATGTGAAGGATTTCATCTTCGGCGTAATTCACGTGGTGAATGACCGTCTTCCTGTCATATGCCACTCGCTCTCCAACCACCCTGCATTTTGTAGTGTATCAATTCTCAAAGGGGGGAGAGATAGACAGATGAAGATTGACTCTCTCCCAAATCACCACTAGTTAGCTCTTACCAGTGCTCTAAAAGCCATAATTGACAGATGGAATGGATGAGACAACCGTGTCGAAGCTCTCAAAAGACCACAAAAAAAAAAAACGAATGAATATAGTGGTCGCTCTCCAACCACCCTGCATTTCTCTCTCAAACTAGAAGCATACCCAAATCATTTGGGAGCCACCCAAATGAGAGTCACCCAGAACAATCACTTGTCTTGAGATTGCCCTTGCACTAATACAGACCATAAACTGTTGTGTCAGCCGGTGTGGAACTGTCGTTGCCGGTGGCAAAGCTGTTGTACTCAGACTGAAAAAAGATAAGGAACAGAGGAACAATTCTAGCTCCGGCGACCGTAAAGATAACAGGAGATCCTACACGCTCCCCTACCTGCGTTGCTTGTGACCTACCGAAGACGAGCTCGTACTCCGCGACACTCATGAGGATCTGTGCAGCGGACACTTGGGGGGCAGGGTCCTTGCCCAGAAAGCGCTTCGACAAGGGTATTATTGGCCAACAATGAAGGCAGATGCCATTGAACTCGTTAGAAAATGTGACAAATGCCAGAGACATGCCAATATTCACCACCAACCCGCTGTCGACCTCAAATACCTCACCAGTCCGTGGCCCTTTGCACAGTGGGGCATCGATCTACTCGGGCCATTCCCGCCAGTAACGGATGGAATGAGGTTCTTAGTGGTAGCAGTGGACTATTTTACCAAGTGGGTAGAAGCCGAACCCCTCGTAACGATAACAGCCCGAAATGTCCAAAACTTCTTTTAGAAGAACATCGTATGCCGCTTCAGATTACCTCGGATATTGATTTCCGACAACGGCAAACAGTTCGAGGACATCAAATTTCAAGACTAGTGCCGAGACATGGGGATCCAACAGAACTTTACTTCAGTCGCGCACCCTCAAGCAAACGGTCAGGCAGAAGTCACGAACAGAGCCATCCTCCACGGACTAAAGGCACGGCTGGACCGAGCTAAAGAATTGTGGGCAGATGAACTACCCAGTGTCCTACGGGCCTACCGGACCACGAAGAAGACCGCCACGGGAGAAACACCCTTCAATCTCACCTACGGCACCGAAGCAGTGATCCCGCAGAGATCGAAGTACCTACGTTGCGCCTAGAAGCATACAGTGATCAAATAAACGAAGATGAGCTACGCACCAACCTCGACCTACTCGACGAAGTAAGGGACCTCGTGTACATTAGGATCGTAGTCTACCAGTAGAGAGTAGCTCGGTACTATAACACCAGGGTCAAGAAGCAAAACCTCCACGTTGGCGACCTGGCCCTTCGTAAAGTTATGGTGCTTGAGCCCGGCGCTGGCAAGCTCGGGTCCAAATAGGAAGGTCCTTACCGAGTGAAACGAGTGCTCGGGGAAGGAACATACGAGCTCGAGACCCTCGAAGGGAAACAAGTACCTCGAGCATGGAATATTGTCAACTTTAGGCAATATTATTTGTAAGAAGCGAGTAGGCCACGAGCTACTCCCAAAGCCTAAGGGCCAGAATACCGAGCTAACATGACCTCGGCACAAGAAGACCCCAATTGCCACTTCGGCTTGGGAGAATCCAGGAGCGGACTACGGGTCCCTCCCTAAGCCTGAGGGCCACAAGAGGACCCAGTCGCCTCTATGGCATGGGCAAACTTCGAGAGTGGGCCACGAGTCACTCCCAAAGCCTAAGGGCCAAAACATCGAGCTAACAAAGACCTCGGCGTGAAGAAAGACAACCACTTCAGTGGCGAAGGCAAAGTATGAAATATTAAAGGCGTAAGCAGCTCGGGTTCAAACCCTACGAAGCATAGCTCATCTCGATACGTCAGTCGAACTAAGGAATAACCAACCAATGCTTAGTTCGGACATACGTAGTAATCACTTCGCGGTATACCACAGAGGCCTTAAACGTGACAAATCGGGATAACGCCTACCGAAGAGCCCTACTTCGGGTAGGTAACTTCAATAACCCAAATGATGAGATCGCTTTAGCAAAAATAAAGGGAGTTCATCATACTCAGAAGAAGGAAGAGACTTTCATTGTCAAAAAAAAAAAGAGAAGAAAGAACAGAAAAGGAAAGGAAAATAACAAGTGCAGTAACCGAGCTAAACAGCTCGGGAAAGGTTTGATCATCACAGGGCACAACCGCCCAACCGAAAAACTTGTGAAAGACCGGGTTTACGGCACCCAGAAGCCACAGAAGCCCAGAGAAACGCCACCTCAAGGATCCACCTCCTAATCCTCTGGAGAGTCAGGCTCCTCTTCATCCGCTTGGTCTGCTGTCTCAGGGGACAGACCCTTCATAGTAATTCCGTCGAGGTTAAGCCCGGAGAACTTCTTCCGAACCAACCACTGGCAGAGCTTAAACCCTGAGCGGTACGAACCCGATCCATACTCCGCCTAGAGGTCATGAAATTCCTAGGAGTCTTTAAAATCCCAAACCGCTTTCTCTCGCTCAGCCTCCACCATCTGGTCAAAGTTTCGGGTCCGATTCAAAAGAGTGGACTCCAAGTCCCGCACCTGTTGCCTGAGTAGCTCCCTCTCCCCCGCCATCCTCGACGATTCCTCCCTATAGCGTGCGCTCTCTTCAGTAAGCCGAGCGATTTGAGCCTCCTGGTCATGAACGAGCAGCTCCTGAGACTCGCTCCCCTTGCGAGTGTGATGGAGCTCGCCCCGGATCTGGTTGAGCTCGACCTGGAACTTCTGGCTGGCAGCACGTTGGTCGAGGGCGTTGACGCGATGGATGCACGTCTAGAGAGCCATGGCATGGATGGCAGAATTTACCTATCGACGAAAAAGAAGATCAGAAGACAGCGGAAAAGGGCAAAACGAGAGGGAAAAAGGGAAAAAGGCCACTTACCACCATGCAGTGGGCAGAGGCGAACGCAGAGAGATCCCCGGGCTCCATGTTTCCCCACTGAGCGATCTCATCATTATTGATTGCCTTCTGACTCCTCCGGCGAGCTACCAGATAATCGTTTACCCCTTCCCAGTTTCCCACTGGGAACCGGGGGTAAGGACGGGGCTAAAGGGGGTTAAAGGGGGCCTCCCCCTGCTGAGGGGGCTTGCTTCCCCCAGGGTTAATCCCACTAGTCTCCTCAGGAGGGGGCATCAGAACCTTGGGTCGAGGAGAGGGCAGGACCGGCTCGGCAGACCCGAACTCAATGCTTCCCGAAGGAGGGGTCCGGTCGGGGCGCGTCCTCTTCACTAGGCGTTTTTGGCTGCCCGAGAAAAGGCGACGCGAATCGGCACTAGACATGATGGCTGCCAAAAGACCACAAGATATTTGTCCAACAAGAAGCAAAATGCATGTGTACACAATAGTCACAAGACACTACGCGACCTAAAAGGCCGACCTACCCGGGCTCAAGTCTGCCTGCACGAGCTTCTCCTTGGCCATGTAGTCCGAGAAAAGGAAGCTTACCGACACTTAGGACAGCATCATTTTCCGACTCTCAGGGTTCAGCTCGGCCCCGGGGTCCTGGATGGCGCCCCTCCAAGCGGTGGGAAAGGGCCACCCCTCGGGGTTACAGACCACAAAGTAGTCCTGCTTCCAGGCGGGAATCTTATTCGGCAACTCGTACAAGAGCTTATAGCCGCGACGGGGAGAGAGGTAATAAAAGCGCCTCTCCGGAGGAACCCCA